TTTTAGGGCAAAACAGGAAGTGGGCCCGCAAAAATAAAAGTCTTGATTAATTGACTAATTACGGATCTAACCTTGTCTTACCAATTCTGTCTGCTCGCACACTACATTTCTGCTGACATGCCATGATGAGCAATACATTTTGTCACGTACTTCAAGACTTTATTTGAAACACACAATGAACTTTTAATAGAACTTTGATGAACTTTAATAAAAACCTTTTCAGTTGCCTTTATATTCTTTGTCCTGTGTTTAGTCTGCGTCGGATCATTGCACTTTGTAGCCCGTCTGGTTCTTCATGTCTTTTGCCACGTCTCGTCCAAGTGAGTTTTTCAGCTGCCTCGTTAGCCTTTTTGATTTAATAAAGCTTTGTTTTTTCTTCACCCGAACTCTGCCTGTGCCCTGGGTCATTCTACGTCTAAACCTGACAGCAAGAGTTTAGAATTCAAGATGGCAGCTACTTTTTACAACTCAACAGTGAGTTAAACTCTTATTTTTACTTTTAAAAGTATTTCTGTATCATTTATTACACATTTAGTCAGTCGTACATGTAGTAATTTTCAGTATTTATAAGAGGACATGTTAAAATGCTGTTTCTATGCAGGAAATAATAGAGCTCAGATATTGTTGTGCTCAGTCATAGCAATGATTAAGTGAAAATTAAGTGAAAGAACACAAAATGTCAAAGTTAATTACAACTGGCCCTTTGAGAGCCACCATAACGCTCATGTGGCCCACAGTGAAAATGTGTTTGAGACCCCTGCTTTAGAAGCTCTGATGTTGTAAAGCAATATCAGTCCTTGAGGGTCTCCATCCTGCATGTTTTACTTGTTTCCTTGCTTCCGCACACATGATTCAAATGCTGAATCACTTCTTCATGTTCCACTAAAGTTTGTTAATCACCCACTCATTCAAATCAGGTGTGTTGGAGCAGAGAAACCTCTAAAACATGCAGGATATTGGCCCCAAAGAACCAGGACTGAAAATACCCCACAGGACTTAGCAGCCCCCACATGGTCACCACATAACACAGTTCTGGAGGCGCCGCTGTTGAGACAAAACCAGCAGTGAAGTGAATTTGTATCCCTCATCATAAAAAATAAAGAAATTCTAAATTTAGGACAAATGGTTCAGTTTGTACTGAATAAAAAAAACTGACAAACTAGGAGCTTTATAGGAACTAAAAAAGTCTACAGATTAACCTGAAAGTTAAAATGTCTCTTTACTTTAAGACCAATCCTGTCAACTTTGAAGGAGAGGTAAAAGCTGCAGTAAAAATGAGGTTCAGTGAGATGTTACATGTATATTTCTGTGGTCATCCACTGACTGAGACAAGCTGCCATTTAGATGAGAAACAGCAACAACAGGATGCAGAACAGAGGGCAGAGTGAAGCGGGGAGGTGAATAATGGGGATACAAATGGTGCTCTTTGCATCTCAAATGATCAGCTCTCAGTCTTCACGACGTGTAAATAAACGCACAATAAATACGCTCCGTGTCCCATGCCAAAACACACTCGCGTTCCCAAAATACCGTGCCTCTGACGACTGAGGTAGCACTGCTCACCAAATTTATGCGTGAGCGAGTTCGGGCTAAATTTACTGCCAGGGAGCCAACTTACGCAATCCTCCCTGGTCTTCCTGCTGTCTACACAGCAGCTTAGCATCTTTCATCTCAAACTGTCCCAGCACCTCCCCAGCTTCACACCCACATGATACACGCTACAACTTTGACACTATTCCTGTAGCAAACACCCCCCAAAATACCAGCACCTCCAAGAACAGACGCCAAGCCTGTCAGAGCATCATCACATCCRACACGGCAGCTGGGAGGAGTGGAGAGAGGAAGAGAAGAGCAGGTGGAAGAAAAGAGCACAGCTGCTGTCGAGAAAAGGGAAGAAAAAAACGAATCAACAGAGAAAATACCGAGTCTCAGTTTACAGGCAGATCAGCCGCAGACTGCCTCGCTTCGTTTTGAACCGAATAACCTCTCCTCTTCTCAGGCAGTCTCTATCTGTGCTCCACAACAAACTAAGTTCACCAGACGCAGAAAGTTATAAAAAGTCAGTGCTTGGAACCAGACTGCATGGAAAATTAAATAACTTTTGAGAAGCACTTTACTTTAGCCCACTTATGTTTGAGCATATAAGGACGTAAAAGTATTAAATTGTAACTTAATGCAATTTAAAGAGATAATAAATGGCAGAACCATGATTTGATTATAATCCATCTGTTTTGTGCTGCTTTTCAACGACAGGTCTCGAAGGGAATCCCAGACATCCCTCTCCTCAGAAACACTTCCTGAGGGCATTCCAAGAGGATTCAAGTTCTGGGTCTGCCCCGGAGTCTCCTTCCAGTGGGACGTGCCTGGAAAGCATCCAGATGGAGGTTCCTAGAAAGCATCCTAATCAGACGTCAGAACGGAAAAGAGGAAGAAACCCATTTCAACTGTTTGTATCAGATCTCAGACTAAAACCAAACCTTTCATTTTCAACTCAACTCAGTTCTTTCTTCAATTGACTAAAGTGACCCCCCTCATCACTGCTAAAAGGCCAACATCCATCCATCCATCCATCCATCCATCCATCCATCCATCCATCCATCCATCCATCCATCCATCCATCCATCCATCCATCCATCCATCCATCCATCACTCCCAGATGAGCTCCTTGAGGCAAAGGTAAAAATGAACCAAATCAATAAGGTGTTTCTGTATCGTTTTTTTCTGAACCGTTAAAAGAACTTGCCTGTACCCTTTGAAACGACCTTTGCCTCGTCTATTTTCTTTTAAAAAGAATTGAAACCCTTAAAAAGGGAACTTACAGATTTTTTGGATGTAACACCGCRGTTAAAGACTTATTTTATTCAAATTGTTGTTTTATGATTAAATACCCGCGACACAAATTACACGAGCTGACGTTTCTGTTTACTGCCGTTAATTAAATGTCAGCAGGCGGACTTTTTTCAGAAACGGAGACAGAGATTGTTAAAGAGGGAGCGCATCTGTGTGATTCCATCAAATGACTCATTTTACAGGTTTTATTCAGACCAAGGCCACAAAGAAATACAGAAGAATAAAAACTCAAGGTTTTTGGGGGGAAATAATAAGGAACAGGTAAAAGAAGAAAATAAAAGAAACGAAGAAACAACGAGGGCACATAAGAATCAGTCACTGTGGGTCCTTCCTCTTTTCCACTTTCTCTCTGTGCTCCATTTCTTTTTGTTTCCTCCTCTTTTTATCACAGTGTGGATGGACGGTTGCTGAGGGCAACCTGTGTGTACTCACATAACGATGAAGCGGAAGTGGTGTGTGAGTAAAGGTGCTATTTATAGCCGTGTGTGTAGAAAGGACATTTGCTCGCTTGTGGATGTATGAGTTTGGTGTGTGCATCAGAACACCTGTATGTGTGTATATGTGTGTGTTTGTGTGTGTGGAGCGAGAGAGGGAGAGAGAGAAGCCAGCCTGTAACAGGGAAGAGGAGGAGGATGCAGAATGTGAGACTCAGACAGTTACCAGAGAGAACAGGAGGGCGAGAAAGAGTGCAGGATGGATGGAGGGAGTGAGGGAATGTAGTGGAGGAGGGGGCGAGTGTGTGTTGACGCTGTACGTGGCGTCAGCGCGATAAGAATAGAGATGGTGCGTATAGCTAAGACATCACCCTCACACCCTCAGTGGGGCAGGCAGTACTCACTCTGACTCTGTGTGTGTGTGTGTGTGTGTGTGTGTGTGTGTGTGTGTGTGTGTGTGTGTGTGTGTG